AATATAGTGCCTTAGGTTTTAGGATAGGCAATTTATTGCAGTACCTACTGAAACTGCTAATATTTAAATTGAACAGTGATTTTTGTGTAACTATACTTACTAACTAGATAGTAACTATCTAGGTATAACTACTTAACCCTACCCATATGTTGAATTACCGTCGTTATAATACCTAGGTACGTTTATTACGGCAAACAACAGTGATGGCTACGACGGAAATATACTTGCGGCGATAGATCCCTTTATTCTGTCCCACAACACTTAAATATACGGTTAATAATATTATATATTATACACGCACAACTATCGAATATACATATAGGTACACATTCGTTAATGTTGTGTTTAAACACCTGAGGGTAACTGTTTTTGAAGCGTAATTTCACTCCATATACATCTCATTAAACACATACAACACGTAACATATTAAACGAAGAAAAATCGTTTACCGTAATATTATTATTTTTACGATTTTTTTGTTATTTAAGTTTTAGCATGTTATACGACACACACACACACACACACACACACACACACATATACCTATATATTATAATACGTATAGCTTTATATTCTAATTTGTTTCCTTAAAAAAATATTATTGTATTTTCCTCTCTGTATATAAAAGTTAAAAGTCGGTTTTCGTTGATAAATGAGAAAAACCTTCAATCTGTTACATTACCTCATTTCTCCACCGAAACGATAATCCAAATTAAACTTGTAAATCGTTATATACCTAACATTAGTTTGGAAATTAAAATCATATGTTAACATTGATGTGTGTCTATATTATATTTTTTTTTATCAATATTAATGATTGATTTTTTTTTGTTAAAGGTAGATATTAAACCTAAAAAAGAGAAAGGTTTAAGTTAAACTTTAGAGGCATAGAGTATTCAATCATTATCAGTAGGTACCTAGTAATATTAAGTTTTAATAGTGTAATAGTCGATAATATATGTTGATGGTTGGGAAATGACGGAAGATAAATGTTTGGAGTATATAGGTATACTCCAAATAATGATTAATGACTAGCAACTCATTGAAAAGCGAAAAACGTTATCTGTATATGATTTTCAATAAAACTTTTATTTTTCTGTGATTTTTATATTTAGAGATAAAAACTGGAACGAAAAAAGTATTATGTTGAAAACAAAAAAACTCTAAGTATACCAATCCAATAAAATGTTAACCACTATTTCTATATACATTATTCCTGTATAGTATATATTATGTTATATTTTCTAATAGTGTATAAGAAAAATGAAAAGTAAGTTGTGCGATTTAATTTGTATTTACATTTTTAGTAAAAAAATTTACTTTACAATTCTCTCGTTAAATATAAAAACCTGTTTAGGTTCAATGAATACATCTATTTATTTTTATATTTATTCAACTTAAATTAAAGTTAGATACATATCAAACGACAAACCTTAATTTCATAATTTGTGATTAATGTACTAAAAATTCTCTACTCTGGAAATGGGAATGGTATAGGTACTGAATACCAAACAACTCCATTCTTGTGCACAACCTAAACATTTGTGTTCTGTATTTGCAACAGAAAGTAAAAATTCACGAGAATGTCCTAAGCTCCTAAAGTTCCTAAAGCGTTTTTAGCTAACGAATCGACGGGACAATCATCTGGTGTTAAATAAACGTTGGGCTATACTTAAGTAACTTTAAAGAGCAATTTAATGTCAATAAAACTCATACAAGTAATCAGTCGTGGTGTTCAGACGGGTTACAAAATGATGCAACTGCATGAGCTCTCATGCGTGGAGTGTAAATTACCAGTGTCCCAAGGAAGCTTATGTAAATTATACCTAATAAATAAATAATATTCTTGGACTATAGTGATTTACTGATTTATTTAAATATTTTATAGTTAACGACTAAGACGTGGAATTTGTAACCTATTCACTTTTGTTAGGTATAAATGTGTAAGACTTGATTAGGATAAACAGGACAATACGATGGGTAATGGATATTATGTTTGTTTTTAATCAACATCTGAATAACTACTGGTGATTATGAAAAAAAAATAAAAATGTACCTAGAAAGAGAAGAAGTTCATACCCCTTCCGGCCATTCCACATGAATCATACACCTACCTACAACCTACTATATACTACCTACTTAAATACAAGCAGGAAATAAGGTGTTCAAAAAATTTTGAAACTCTTTGATTACTGCATATTTGTATACCTACATGACAGGTACAGCAATAAAAAGTAACATTGCTGCTCATTTAGGTAAAATATTTAATCACCTCATTAATTATATGACATTAATAAATATCATCAGTCCTAATTAGTGGGTGAGGCCGTGGGGGTGCTTATTTATTAACTGCATGTCTTCTCGTAATTCCTCTGTGCACCACTGCATTTTGTCTTGAAAATTCATAGATTTTTAAGATTATAATATAATAATATGAAGATCACAGAGAACGACCACTATTTGTAGTTTTATTTCCTAAATTTCTTCATATTATACCTATTATAAACAGTTAATAAATTACTTGTAAATTTGTTAGAATATTATTATAATTATTAAAAATATTTAGTTAGGTAGGTTGGTGGTATAACTCAAGAAATAATAAACAATGACTTCAAATATCTACATATTTTAGAACCAGTAGTTTTTCTATTTAATTAAATAATAGTAGGTATATTCTATTGTTGTTATAACGACAAATGTTTATATTGAGTTGGTTTATTATTATTAGAACAATAATTCAATCATTCTGAAAATTGTTTGTTGAGATTATTTTCGTGACGTTTCGATATTAAGTAGGTTTAAAATGTTTATAGTTCGAAGTAGGTACTGTACATTTAGTGTATTTCGGGCTATTTACCTATTATTATCTATTATTTATTTTGATAGAAGTTGTAATTTCATTACGTAACTTGAAAACCATTAAATTAACTAACCATCATAATATAATATATCATATAATAGGTACCTGTCCAACCTACAGATACATACCCGCGTACTTACTATTTATGTGTACGATTAATATTATATATTTTCTAATATTTATACAAAACGCTGTTAATTATTATTGTGTTAACTCAACATTACATTGTTTATAGTTTGCTTATTTCTTGCCGAACAGTCATACGTTAGTTATACGTTATAACTTATATGTATGCATTACGACTTACGAGTAATATTATAATAATATATAACAGGTATATAATTTATATAGTTAATTTAATTGAATTGACTCCAGTCACGTACCTTCTATGATAAATTGATTACATTTTTGATTTATATGTAATACAATATATATATATATATTTATCACTATTAATCTAATAATAGTAAAACCACAGTGCAATATTTGGTTTTCAAATAGTCAATAGATATCCATTGATATTACATTTGTTTAGGTAGTCAGTACCAAATAATCAAATATCAATAGTTAATATTCTATCATCTCCAAATATAACTTTTTTTTTACTTTACAGGACATTTGCATCTTCAATGCTCCTCCCCTTAATCCTTTTAAATCGTTTTTATATTTGACTCTTTAATAAGTACAGACTTGTTTAATTAACTTCTCTTATGCGCAACCATGTCGATTCTAATCTTTTTGATTTTTAGAAATACCTATTGTTATCATTTATAGTAGATAGGTATTTGCTTTTTTAAAAATTATATATAATATTAATTCCGTATCTGTATCAAAATATAAAACAATATTACGTATGAGGTGTTTTATCGTTTATTTTATTATAGTTTTTCTATGCAAATACAAACAATTTATTATGTTAGGATTTATGTTTTATCCCCAGGGTAGACTAACAACTTTCTCCTACCATAGTAGTATTTTTAGACTTTATTATTTTATGATTTATTTCTTTGAGGTGTGTAGTAATGTTTTGTACTTCTTACTACCTGCTCACAATTTATTTAATACCCATTATATTAAAACAGTATAGTCGATGGTTTGAGTTCCTAAACATTTGAATAATTTTGGTATTTTTTGTATTGGTATGCATTTGGAAAATTACCATAGTTGTTATTATAATAGTGTAATTATAATATAATTTTGGAAAAAAATTATTCGTGTTAGAAATAAATTACAATACTGGGTCTTGGTCTACATCATATTGTAAAGACCGGTACCTGTTTCATATTTGGCACTCATTTTGTTTCGTTTATTTTAGTGAAAGATAGTGGAAAGAAATTGCAAACCAATAATATAATATGAAATTATAGAAACATATTTAAATACCTAATAAATGTTTCAACTCAATAGATAATCTTTATTTATAGTCAATATTTATAGCCTATAGGTAGATACATAACTACTACATAGTTATTTTGTTATAATTTAATTCAAAATAATGTTTTAATCAAATTGATTAGTAAAGAAAATATGAATAATGTATAAGTAACTATATTATATCATTATATGTAATTTATTATTAGGTACTGTTTTAACACGTCAACTGTCCAATTATAATAGCCAACTTTACGATGCATAATATATTATTTTGATTTACAAAAAACGCATATATTATAAAACGATGTGAACGTAACGACGTAATGTATTAATATTTGAAAGCATTTGACCTTTTGCAGTATTGTAGATTATTCAAAATTCAGGTACCTATTTATTCCATTCAATTTTTTTAAATTTTAGTTTCTAAGAGTTAAATTTCAATGTACAAGGTTAATATAGTAGTATATTGATGATTAAATCTGAAAAATATAGGTATACCTACTCGTATCTCGTAGGTAGGTATAACATATTGCGGGTATTCACTTTTTAAATAGCATATGGATTAATATTTATTTTTTTTTTTTGCCTTCCAACTGTTAGCTATAATTACTGTTTATACTTTATATATTTATTAGGTATTATACAGGTTAGGTTAGGCTAGGTATTCCGGTAACACATTATAATGATGGTATGCCTAAACTATCGGATTACCAGTCAGTCGTGAGTCATCTCTATAACTATTAATTTATTGTGTTTTGTTTCGCAGACGAATCCGCGTTGGGATACGCGTGGCGCCGCGTCACCGTCGCGCTGGTAGACGCGTTTTCCTTGGTGTTACCACCGTCCGCCGCCGGCCCGGAACCGGACTGGGACGAGGACCGCGCCCGGCCACCGCACAAACGCTGGCGGGCCACGTCTGCCGCCCTAACGGCCGTTCTTGTGGCCGTGGTCGCGGCGCTGTCTTGCGGCATATGCGGCGTGGTCGCGATACTGTACCGCCGCCAGAATTACGGCCACCGTCGCGGCGACCGTGGCCACGTCGCGTACGGACTCGGATGCGACGGAGGAGGTGTCGACAGCGCTGATGGCGGTGACGCCCAAGAAGGTACCGGAAAAACCGTGATTGTCGGGCGGCTGAAGGCTACGGACGACGCACCACCGGCCACCGACGTCGACGGCGCGCGACCACAGCACCACAACCAGCAGCAGCAGCAACAGCGCCTGCTACAACAGCGACAGCAACAGCAGCAGCAGCAGCAGCAACAGCGACAGCGACAACTGCAACAGCAACTGCAGCAGCAACAGCGACGACTGCAACAAACGCCGATCGCCGGGTCCGATGACGCCCGTTCCGGGGCTTGCACGCCCCTACTGCACGCGCAACCGTTGTCTCGCAGGGTGCAGTACCCGGCGAGACCGGAAGCGGCAGGTCGACCGCTGTCCGCCACGTTTCCGGTTTCTTGCGCACCAGACGACGACTACGATGACGACGACTACGACGCCACCGCACTACGTCTACGTGCGACTGACACGTCCACCGTCAATTACAACGCTGCGACCGTCGATCACCGCGACGACGGTAGAGGGCCGGACGTCGTAATGTCGACGGCCACGACACTACATCTGGCCGATACCGGTACATACCTATTTATCATAATATCTTTATACGAATCGTGGAAATTTTCCCCCTTACTATTTTCGGTGTAATAGGACATCCCCCACCCATTTTTAAATAAAATAACTATAGATTATTAGCTTATAAAATATATAATAAATTATAGATGTATATTTTTGATCAACTGAACTACTTGAATCAAATTCAAAATCAATTATTCAATTGTTAAATATCCAAACTATTATTAAATTCAATATTATTAGTCAATAATAAACTTTTAAAAAAAATTGGGGAGAAAATGTTCGCATCAAAAATATATCGATGGGGGGAAATGTCCATTTTCCCTTTATACATGTTACGGTTTTGGAGGTATTAAAATTTAAAAAAAAAAATCAATAAGTTTAAAAATTTTAATTCAGTTACAATATTTTCCAAAGATTGTTAACATAATCTAATTTTGTTATTTTATACGAATTTTAATTGAGACCAAATAATAACGACATTTGTCCTCACACTTGAATTATTTCCCTATTCTATAGTATCAAGAGTGTGAGGGTTATCAATAAATACTTTCGCTTTTTATGAGGTGCCTCCATAAAATATAACTGAAAACTACTGATCTGTATTCAATTATACAAACAATAATTGTAATTAATGTCCCGATAAGAGTACATTATATTATATCGAAGTGATATATTCTTCTTCGTGGAGATCAACCCTCATATTTTGATACCCACACTACTCTTCCCGGCAAACCTCATGTTCCATGCGTAATAATAATTAATAATATTATATTCATCAGTCCAGCACCAAAAAAACGTTTGCTAGATAAATGACGGCCTTGCTCGTCCTCTTTTATGCTATTTCAACTATATTCCTGTTATTATATCATTATGTTTATTGCAATTATTCGTCTCCGTATATCTTGTTATGTACTCAATCATAGTAGGCACCAATAGGCCAAAATATATGTTACAGTAAATAATAATTGAGAACATAACATATTATGTAATATGACTGGTCGTTAACATTATTCACCAATTACCTACATTGGTAATTATATCGTTAGAAACCAAAATATGTTCACGTCAATCGCCAGCTAACGATTAGGTACCTAGGTTGTAGGTAGGTTTTTTTTCTTGTTTAAATTACATTCACGTTGTTGTCCATAGAAAATTAACGTTGATAAACGTTGGGTGATGTAAATTTTCGTTTAAAAAACCCGTTACTCCGAACTCGAAACTTAATATTTGAGTGACTATAAATAGGTACAATAGATTACAATTTATTATTTTTATAAGAGTAGGTACCTAAGTTGGACTCACGCCACTCAGGAGATCTTAGCGAACCAACACACCCATAAAAACTGCAAACTATGATTACTCATCTATGATGATGGTTTTTGAGAAGAAACAAAAGTTAGAGCGGTTTAAAAAAAAAAAATACTTTTCGTACCTATACCTTGAATTGTCAAATCTAAATTCACTAATATTTTTTTATATAATATGTATACTGACCACTGAATGCACTAATGTTAGCCATTTAAAATTATAGCAATTAAATTTATGTACGTACCTATTTATTGATTTATTTATAAATACAATGCATATATTATTATAGATAGGTCAGGTGGTAACTGGCCACAGAAAGATCAACCACCACAAACAAAATTCAGTACCACGAACAGCAACCACAAATGGTCGTTAAACCGACTTCCGTATCAAAAACCAAATACAACTACTATTTCAAGGGCCAAATTTACAACGACCTTAACACCAACAGCAGCTGCAATCTTAACAAATAAACATACCATATCTAAAACAATCAAGCCGGTAATAGATGAACCTATATCGGTATCATCTCGGGTGTTATTAAATGCGCTTCATCGAGAGTCATCCATCTAAAACTATGGTTAACTTTATATAATATATAGGGTTTTATTAAAATAATCGTTGTCTTAATGACTTTATTATCTCTTTTCGCTCTAACTTTATTTTTTCGGTCTATTTGTAATCATAACTAGACACATAAATTGTGTGTGTTTACCGTATCTAAAAGTTAAATTTAAATATTGTCGGTGATCATTGCCACGTTGTATAATATTATTGTGATTCCACATTTTTTTTTACATGGAATTGTTACTGTTTTTGTTAAAATATTATGTCTCGATACGTTTTCATTCCTACGGACGTGTTACCAATTTAAGTTATAAGATAGGTATAACCCTTTGATTTCATGTACCTACTACTTGTTAGAATATTATTTAGGCCAATCAAAAACGTTAGTTAAACTTTTGCATTGTTTATTTTTAGCAAAACTATTTATTTACATTAAATTGTGTTTTAGTAGGTACTATTTGATTTACCGTTGTCATTATAATATTATGTGTACATATCAATATATTATCATGTGTTATTACTTATTAATGTACTTTAATAGTTTTTTTTTTGTGATAATGATTTTGTAACCAGTTCCTCATAAGTCATCGTAGAATAAGGTCCCTCGTAGAATTTCTACATAGGTAGTTATTTGGGTAACTATATTAATAAGGTACCTATCTAAACAGATAAGACAACATATATATTAAAATAATTCATAACTCTGCTTAATATAGTACCTAATAAGTAGGGTTAAAATGTTGAGGTAATATAATAAATAAAAAAAACAATTTCAATTTAAAAATAAAGCATTTTATAATTATTATTGTTATAATGTTTTCACCAATTAAATATTGTGTTAAAAAAAATAGCAATTGAACATATGTTGACAAACAGTCTTTGAAAAAACGTAGACGGTCTAGTACCTACATTGATAATTAATAATTACATTTCAATGTCCATCGGAGATATACGATACCTAAATATACTTAATAATTATTATAATATTATTTCATACCTACCTAAGCACTATGCCACTATACTACTATATAGCCGTAGCCGTTATTAACTTAAAAGTCAATACCATCGGAACGTACCTACCGTAAAACCGAGTGAATATCAGGATATAAATAGTTTCAAAGTACCTAAGTAATCAATTTAACTGATAAATTGTATTTATTACTATCGTAAATTATAATATAATAATATGCAGTTACCTACTACCTCGATATAGGTAATATACGTACCTATGCATAGGCGGAAATCCGTTAGAATTTCAAAGGGATTAGCATTTTTAATATCATCAATGTGAAACATTGGTGGCTACGTCTCCCAACCTCCTCCCCATTTTCGCCTATGGACTATACCAAGCAGTGACAAAAATTTTCAAGTCCTTGCTAAAAATGATATTTTTTTAATTAAGATTATGTCAGCGCAATATTTGTTTTCTCAATCTGGCCCACGCGCCACATGAACAAAACCCATTAACGCTGAATCATTTTAGATTCTGAGTGAAACGATGAATGTATTGATTTTACAATGATGTGTGTTTTTTTTTTAATTTTAATTTTTTTTTTGTGTCTGTCATCACGTTTTAGGACAGTAAAAGTGCTTGGATTTTCTTCAACAGTAGCTTTTCTGATAGAAAAGTGAATCTAGTTGGTACTTTGGGGAGGTCAAAAGTAAAAATTTCCTAGTAGTTTTCACAAGCACCAGGAAAAACAACATAAAAATTAAGGAAAAACGGGAATTTTTACGCAAAATCGGTTTTCCAAAAAATCGATTTTGGTTTTTGGTGTAACTCTAAAAGAAATGAACGTATATACATGAAATTTTCACTGGTTGTTTATATTTGCATTTTCTATACACGATAACATTTTCAAAATATTTTGATTTATTTTGAACTGTTTAGGGACATTTTCATTTTTCATTTTTTTTTTTTTGTTTTTTTTTTAAAAATATCAATTAAATTTTATTTGTTGGTTGTGAAAGCTTGAACATTTAATAGAAGGCTCCTAGTATATTGTTTCAAAGGCAGATGAAAAATATTAAAAATCCTTAGTCACAATTTTATTTTATAAGCTTTTAAAGTTCAAAAATTGACAAAATTTGTACAATATTGGATATTCACTCGATTTCTCATGTAGCGATTTCCTTATTTTGTTGTAATTACAAAAACGAATAACTGTAGATACATGAAAATTTCACTAAATGTTTATATTAGCATTTACTATACATCATACAATTTTGAAAATGTTTTGACTCTTTTTGAGCTGTACGGACATTTATAGCTTTCAATTTTTTTTAGTTTTTTTTTTTCTATAAATATCAATAAAGTTTTATCTGTTGGGCCAAAAAGTGTAAAAGTTTAATACAAGGCTCATGATATATTGTTACAATAGCAATTGAAAAATATTAAAAAATACATAGGTACAATTTTTTTTTATAAGCATTTAAAGATCGAATTTTGACAAAATTTATCAAAATTAATCGAAAATTATCAATCATTGTAATTAATAAATTATAAAATGTTCAGTTTTTATAGCTAAGGATTACAAATTTAAAACAAAGGTTCTCATAAATTGTTCATACTGTAACCAAAAAATCTAAAAAATATATTAACACAGTTATTTTTTACAGACATTTTAAATTCAAATTTGGACGAAATCACATAATAAAAAACCTAGAATAACTATTTTAGTTATTTTGTTGTGATTGTATAATATTATTCGTGTTTACTTGAAACTTCTCAAGTATACTAGTATACTACTATATATCTATGATAGTATCAGGGTTTGTTGATGGTGTATACCTAACGCGTTATAAGTACCTAATGGATATTGTGATATGATTCATTTGGAATTCATTATAGGTCAATTTTTTTTAATACCATATACCTATATATAAGGACATACCGTCTCCGCTCAGAATCGCTTTTCTTATACAATGATATAATATCATTGAATTCAAATGTAATTTCATCCATTATACAGTGACCCACTTGTAACCTACTGTACAGCAGAGCGACACCCACTTGCCCACCTTTTTTCTATTTAGAGTAAAATTACCCATTGTAAAAAAGATAAATAATAATATTATTGAAGGAATGACATCGATTTTATATTTTATTGTTATTTGACTTTATATTAAACTTTCAAAATAAACAAAAATATGTTGTACATTTAAATTATGTTTAAATTATTTTGAGACAATATTTAAACAAACTGATATGTCATTCCCTCAAAAATATTATTCTCTATATTTGTTGTAATATGTGATTTTACTCTAAGATTACTTAAAAGCATAGAACAATGATTCTGCGTAAATGCGTTTTGTCTATGTTGCGCGTGGGCCAGAGAGAGAAAACAAATAGGTAGTGTGCTGACATCCTCTAAAAACAAAATAACTACAATACTAAATATGTTTAATTTAAATACAATTTTGTCAAAATTGTAATTTAAGTGTGTATAAAAATCTATAAAACTTGTGAATATGATTTTTGAAATTTTTATTATGCTGTAAAAAAAATGAAATATGAGTTAGGCATGTGGATTTAAATATGAAAAAAAAACAAAAACAATGCCTTTTAAAAATACGAGTTAAATAATGCAATAATATTATAATATAACACAAACTAAATAAAATGTCCTTAAAAATGGTTTATAACATAAAGTTAATAAAAAATAATTAAATAAATGTTTTTAACAAATGTACCTATTATTTTAGTTTACACAATTCGGTGATCTAGCCGATATTTATGTATAGGTACTATCCTGTAGGACCAACTTGGTACTTTGTAGGTTAATTTTCAAGTTTATCACGCAAAAACTAACATTTCATTAATCATAAATCGAAAAAAAAAATTAAAAACAACCACAATTTTAAAGACTAGAATTAGCACAAAAATAATAATTATAAAACATTACACTATTATTTAAATTACCATCTACCTATATACAATTATATGTAATTATTAATGAATTTGGTTTTAAAAAAATAAACAGGCAATTTTTATCTCACATTAATAAATACTAAATAGTAGGTTTTATTATTGTAATTCGATTATATTATTTATCTTTTTGAAAATATCAAATCTGTCAATCAAATAATTATAATATATTGAATTATTGATATTAAGAATTTGGAAAGTGTTAATATAATATAATATATTATAATTATAATATATTATAATATATATATAATATATTCATAATATGTACCTATTGTACCCATATAAATGTAAATATAAACATTTAAATTACCTATTTGTCTACTCAAATGGATAATATAGTAGACTATTATATTGTGTACCTACCTATAGTCAATAGTCATATACAGTTCATCAGTGCATATTAAATGTACCACGAATGTACCTATATATTAAGTAGACCTGCCTAACCTATATACTGACTATATTATTGTTTACAATCATGTTGCACCGATATTAGTACAATAGTGCAGTATCTAAGTACCTACCTACCTTTAATATTGTAATGTCTACCTAAGTTATTAGTTATTAGTTATTACCTGCATCTTATTCTCATTTGAAAAAAATAAGTTTTTATCTGATATCACCACAGAACTCCTACTTGAGCGATATACAGAATCTAAGTAGGTCTATACTTACTTACTTGAAAATAAGGTCATTCAGTATATTAGTTAAGTAGTTTAAGTACCTACCTATGACCTACCGTTATACATTAAGAGGATGTCGCATCCGCATATGTTGTCTCCGTCTTACACACGTACGGTATACCAACAATTTTTTGGCGCTGGAAAGAACTGAGAAGGCTACAGTCATAACTAAGAAACAACATTTTCACCACATATACTTTGGCTGTGCTAAATCGTTTTTATTTTTTTGATATCACTTATATGAAAAAAGTTCTCATTGTTTCAAAATCCATTAGGTACCTACTACTTGTGTTTTTCAAACTTTAATAACTTTTTTTTTAAGTTCCCGAAAACGAAAAAATAAAAACGATATTGCAGAGCCAAAGTTCTCCTTTTTAAGTGGTGAAAATTTC